GCATTCATCAGCAAGGCAGGTTTGAAACGATCACGGTATATTAGTCCTCTTTAGGTTACATATAAGCCTTTTTTGACGAGCGCCAGCAAGTATAAGATCTAGGGCTTTCTGTCGGTAATCTGTCATAGCTCAACAGTGGAAAACCTACCTAGTATCACAGTGGGTTGAATGTGTATCTTGTATCACTTTGCACATCTTTAATGATAATCACTGTGACTATCTGAGTTAGTTGTGGTTTGACAGACTTGCATTATTCACATTACGTGATAATTGAAGGTGAAATGAAAATATGGGTTCGGGTAGGATTCGAACCAATAGCCTCTGGGTTACACCAATTCAGTGTCTCTACCAACTGATCACATCTTAACTGCACTTCAATCATCAAAGGTATTGTCCCAAGTAGCATGTGAGTTCATGATATATTAGTGTCTGATCATGAACATATATTCTACTTTTTCCGTTAATAAATACCCGAAGACATGAAATATCTTCATCACTAACGAAATACTAAAGGTATTATTAATCTGTTCGTTATGAGGAAGGAAATTTACAATCGAATCTCTTCTACTTATGATTCAAACACTCTTTTTTTAGACCTAAATGTAATATTTTGATAATTTTTTTTATCCTGGAAGCATTATGCAGTAGATAACTTCCCGTTAGTTTTACATAAACTCATACAGAAAGATAAAAATAAACATGCGAAGATATACATACACACTATTAACAGGCTGACACTGTCCACTATAGATACTGTCAAGTGATGTCGGTGATGACAGAAGTAGACAATTAAGGGGAACCCTTGTCTTAAGGCATACGTAACTGTATTGATTAGATCTGATGAATGGCGCCAAATGACTGACGTACACATTTTATATAAAATTCATATTATTTGCAGTATTTATTCGAAAAGTATTGTGTTTACCTGAAACAAGTGTCATTTTGATGAGATGATATAAGTAGATACCTCCAACTTGAAAACTGATTGCAGATTACAGTAAAAACAAAGAATTCCAGCCAACAGGTATGTATTATTATTATATTATTTATCCCTTAAGTTCCTAGCGGAACAAAGGGCCCAAGTAGTACGCCTCCACTTCACTTTGCTTTCTGCAATCTTTTGAATCTAGCTCCACCACTGCCCAGAAGTTCTCATTTCTTCCTCACACGATCTCCTCCATGTCACCCTCGACACCGATGCCCAACTCGCCGTTTCCCATCCGGGTTCCACTCGAGTGCCTGGCGCCTGATGTCCCCGAATGGTCTTTCTCAGTGCATGCCCAATCAATCTCCACTTTCTTCTGCATATTTGTTGAGCGATAGGTTCTTGGTTGGTTCGCTGACAGCCAGAGTTCCTTGTTGCTTATTCTATCTGGCTATCTGAGCTGCTGTCATGATCCTGGAGGAGATTGGTTCCTACTGTATGAGAGCCTTCGATGCTCTAGAGGACATCATGATAGCCACTTCAGAACTGTGTGCTCGTGGTTGTCGTCTGGGTGACAATATCGGAGTAGATTACTGACTCTCTAGCTGACAGTTTGGAGAGTCCACTCCCATTCCATCTGCTTTCGCAAATTCCTAACACTTCAATGTGATACCTTCTCATCTCCTTTGCAATCTGGCAGGCCTTGGTAGGTTCAAGAATAGTGCGGACATTTCATGTCCCCTTGTTTACTTTCGGTTTCATCAAGAGAAGACAGATTGTCCAATTGGCTTCCCGAAGGCTTTCACCAATCGGCGTCATTTCGTCTGTCCGATTCCAGTGAGGAATAATTTTGTTTTTATTTTTTTGTATTTTGTTTGTGCTTTAAAGTTTCTGTAGCGGTTGGATTAATTTAACGGGGTAGGGTTGCTAGCCCTATGCCCAACCTTCCCTCTTTACCTGGGCTTAGGACCGGCTAGTAACTAGTGTACTAGTTAACTAGGCAGGTTATGTAGCAAACCCTAAACCTAACAGCATAAACGTTTTCGAAATTATAGATTTATTTCAATATTGAAAGTTAAATAACTTCAACAATTTATCTAAACTTCTACTAGACAATTAAGTATCAAAGTTAGATTATTTTCTAACAACCTAAAGTCAATTCATTGCTAAAAATGACCTATAGCCTTCTGAATATTTAAAAGCAATTTTCAACAGAGACAGATTCCCTAGATGAATTTCTATTGAACTATTGATTGGTCAATAAATTTCTAAGGTGTATTTTTTAAACTTTTCTGCTAACATTAATGAAATATTTAAAACGTTTAACAAATCAAGAAAAAAAAAATAGGCTATTGCTAAGAATACAGTCAGTTTTCATTATCTTTTAAATGATACTTATTGGTACTTAAAGTTTCTGAGAAGTCTGCAGAACACCTTTATGCTTAAAACATCAACTAAGTTTCCTAACAAAAGAAACTTTAAAATCTTGACAACTTTTGCATTTGAATATCTTCTCATACACTTTATGGGAACAGTCAATGTTAAAGTTGGTCAAATTCCTTTGTATGTACATTTGGAACCATTAACATTGAGAGCATAATATCATGCTGTAGGAGTTAGAAGAAAAACGTGTGTGTATAAAATACCTTGTGATAAATGGTACATTACACAGTTAAAAAACGGATTATTTTTGCATAAAATTTTGTGTTGCTACATTGACTCCTTCGTCTACAGTACACTTAACTTTAATACTTGCTATATCTTGAAGCTTTAATTTCAAAAGATGCTTCAGCACAAATTAACATTAATCAGAGAATCACTGAAATCCTAGAAACACTGGATAGTTGTTCCCTTGAAGTGAAGTTGGGATTATATTGGCAGCAGTTGATAATCATTAAAACAAAAGTACCTCATAATCAGTTCCTATTATATCATTTTGACTTCACTCATCAATACATCGGTCAGCTAAGAGACTGACTTACTGTCAAGTTATAGACTGCGGTTCATTAATTTAAGGAGTTAACTTTCACCCAATGCGTCATGGGTTCGAGAACCGCTCCATCTACAAAGTTTTTGCAATCAGCTAGTATTACTAGCCCTCACATAAAAGGTATTGCTCACTACCTACTAAACGAATATGAGTTGCGTCTTAACCCTTTTACTTAAGAGTCATTTGTCTTACACCGAACAACTTGAGTCTTCATATCACCCGTTACGGTACGCTGTAGCTAAAATAGATTAACGCCATCAGACCATATATTACAAATAATACGAATACTGACTGCAGAACCATCAGAGGATAAAAAGAACAGCAGTAATTCAGTCAACACACGTTTGTATCATACTTGATTTAACTAGCAGAATGAACATTAACTTCCTCTTTTCATTTTAAACTGAAGAATTGTGTAAGTACACGACAGACAAACGAAAACCGGCCTAGGCGTAACATAATGGCATATCGAACCACTTTACTATACACCGCATTATCACCCAGCAGAAGGAGATTGAAATAATAAAAAACGATGTCCGAAGTGGCAGAAAGACAGAAAATAAATTTGAAATGAAAAGAATATAGGTTTGTACTGTTCTTATCTTAATTTTAAGTCTGGAGTAGTTATAGCACCAATCACCATCAACAGGAGAAATCTAAAGGAAGTTGTCTCTTTCACCCACCAACTAGGCACCATCGTTTCAACTACAGGCGGCACAGGCACAGATGATGATGTCAAAGCCAGGGTCAGAAAGACAGGCCTTCACTGATCTGAAATCAGTGTGCAGATCTACTGCACCCCACTGCACTCAGCATAAAGCGTGAACAACACCCGCATTTTCAATACCATTGTCAAATAAGTCAGTGCTTTTATGTGGCTCATAGACTTGGGGTGTTACAAAAAGTACTTCCAACAAACTCCAGACATACATCAACAGATGCTGTCTAAGCTCACTCGATACTGAAGATCAGATGGCCAGAAAGAATAAGCAACAAGGAACTCTGGCTGGCTGACTGGCAACGAACTAACCAAGAACCCATCACCCAACAAATATGCAGAAGAAAGTTGAGATGGATTGGATGGGACATACGCTGAAAAAACCGTTTAGGGACATCACGCGTCAGGCCAAGTCCTCGAGTGGGACTCAAATGAGAAAGGATGAGTTAGGCTTCTGAGGGTGACATGGAGGAGATTATGTGAGGAAGAAACGAAAGGTTATGGGCAGTCGTGCAGCCAGGTTGAAAAGACTCCAAAGAATAGAGTGAAATGGCTATGTGCTACCGAAGCCTTATATTCCACTAGGAACCCAAGAGACAAATAATAATAACAATAATAATGGATACTGGTTAGCAGTAGAATCCACGATGTGCGCTTCATCCCATTCGGGACTCACCAGCTGGATATACTCCCCCGCTTAATGAGTGGTGTTTTTCCCAGGAAAACTCGGACCCGGGACCAATCGCTTCAAACGCCAGAACGTTATCGTGACTCAGTGGTCAACTGGATAACGCTCAGGCTTTTGAAGCGATTGGTCCTGGTTTCGAGTCACCGTGATAAGAATACCAGTAACTGGGAAGACAAGTACACTCAGTTGACAAGCCCAAAATAGGACAAAACGCGTGTCCTGGATTCCACTGATAGTTGCTAACCATCATGAATATGTAAACCGGACATCGTGATAATATCGAGGCATCCGTACAAAAACCCATATGTCAATTCGGTCCAATCCAATAGAAGTCAGAATAGTTAGGTTAAAATTATAATACAAATGAGAAGTATGGTATAAAAAGGAGAAGAAAAGTGATTGAAACAAAGTGCTTATGAATTCAATTTCTCATTCATACTACCTAATCTGGTGTGTCTAACAAAACACCTAACAGTAACAAGCCTATACGGACGTGTAAGATGGTATTTTAAAATCTCTTAGTTGAAGAGTTAACTTCACTTCTGAATTAATTTTGAAAAGTAATTTTTAAGCAAAAAAATTAGACAAACAGTGTAAAAAAACGTTGGCATACACACACGATCTCCGAGGAGAATATACAATTGATTCTTTTATGACTACACTTAGAAAAGATGCTTACCTCTCCTGTGGCTAAATATTTTCCATCTGAACTAAAATCCACTGCTGTAATAGCTTTACGACATTGACTTTGAATAAATTGTTGTCGTTCATCTTCAAATGAGTGAAGAACTGTCACACACCTGTGAAATCAAAAATACACACGCATAAATGCATGTATAGAAAAAGAAAGGTCATTTTACTGAGTATTAACCTAAGAAGTGTGAAACCCCTCGGAGGGATTGAACAATCTTCTTTTATGTACAAATTTCAAGAGCTTCAGTGATGCAGAGAATGTGAAGACATATAACCTTTAGAAAGTTTCATCTTCTCACCTTAAAAATGACTTTAAACGAGTTGGTTCTTAAGATAGGGTGACCTGTCTCTACGATGTATTCAAATTCAAAACTTCTTATTGATCAACTGTTATCTCTTTGTGGCTATGAGGGATAGTGTTCCCTGGAATCTTTCAGATAACAGTTGTATCGGATGACTACAAGAGCAGATAAGTTGATATATACACAGAGAAGTGGTCGGATGCGAATGTTTCTCCTTCTAGTTGTTAGAAATCATCGGATACTCATCACACCGTTGATGCAAAGAATGTCATACTAAAAGAGTTTGATCGCATTCTCCTTCTCCTCTTTACAGCGTCAGTGGTAGAATAACCTTTGAAATTTAGATTCATACTAAGCATCCTTTATGGCACGGTGGTAGATTTCTCTTTGCAAAGGTTGATTAATCTTCACTGCTTATCAAAGCTCATATCCGCCATATATTTCGTTGGCATATTTGACAAACCACTCTTAGCTATCAAATCCTAACACAATGTGAGAATGAAATCACCGAAAAGAGAGTCTTCGTTGACATATTCTTCGTTCATATTGCTAAAACCTTCATTCTTGCATTCGATATGGTCTATGCACTTTACATTCAAGCTCATTAGCTTTTGTAACGGCTCTAGTTTCTTTTCCAAGTGATATTATATTATATGCTACTTACACGTGTTCTTATAAGTAGCACAGATGTCTATGATGCAGCTGATCGCCACCAGATTGGAATTTTTTGAACCATTCATCGAATACTGACCCATACAATATTGTAGTATATTCAATGATGACTATCATTTTACTGAAAGTCTACTAAGCATTAACTTAAGAAGTGTGAAACTACTCGGAGAATAAGGAAACTAGTGAAAAAGTTCAGTGTTATGTAACTAGACTAGAAGTCAAGTTTATTCTTATCAAGGTTAAAAATGTCATACATGAAGTGGATTCGCATATATAACTCAATAGCTGACAGTCAACCGTGTAGACAAATGAATAACAATTGTATCATTATATTTCCAACAAGAAATCTGAACACAACATCTGATCTGATAAGAAACTCCAACTATGGGATTGAATGAAGGCTGTGCTACATCGTGAATTGACAGAAGTAGGAAATGTGTGAAACATTGAATTCTGATACAGTGGCTAAGTGGTAACATGTTCGTCAAGATCCTTGAAGAAGTCATGCGTGCAAATGACGAGAAGCTTCATCCTGGGACAAAAAAGATGCTCAGTACTTCCAATTTAAGGAATATTTTACTACTAGGGTCAATAATTTGATCAGATAATCTGAGAAGTTTCTACAGGATCAATGATCCATTTCTGCGGCTATAATAACACTGCGTAATAGAGCAAATAATTTGAATAAGACAAGGGTTTAACGAAAAACGGTTCACTGTGGTATTCCCAAAGTATTAATGTTGCCTCACTTTCGTCTAATCTATGTGTAACATATATATATAGCAAGTTCAGTAGTAGATTTGTAAAACGCATACAAGTAATTGCGACCTGCACTCGCCAAAGAAAAGTAATATACCACTATTGTGTATACATGTATACATTGATCCTTTCTTCACATAATAATAAATTTCATCGTCAATTTTCTATAACTAATTAAAATTCGACAGCAGTTACCTAGTTATCACAGCCTTACTGTCTGTTATTAACAAATGTATTTATGAGATCCGTCTCCATAAACTATGAAAACTACGGTTAGGTAACAAATACTGCCAACTGGAATAAATATTTGGTGCCCAACAGATAAACAGATAGACAGACAAAATCAACGCAGAACCTGGCAGACAGGTATATCCGCTTAAGTTGCCACACTTCACAATAGTATACAAAGAACTGCTGGATATAAAAAGTTTGCTTTAAAAGTAGTAAAAGTTGTATGAGAGAGTAATCAAATTTGAAGATAAAAGTTGATGCAAATATTCAAGCTTTAGAGGACATCGAGGAGTGAATGCCTCTGTACCATCGTGGCCGACTTTCAGCCATGTCACCAAAAGTCCTCGACCACTGATTTCCATCGTTTCCAAGACCCCAGCCAGGCAGTTTACATACCTTTAAAAGATTCAGCCCAATAGTAAGAAACTTCATCTACTGCTCCCACGTCTTGGTCTGGTCACCCTAAATACTCTTCCAGCCTAATTCAACTCTGCCTAGCATGGCATGTTGAGGTAAGTGGTGGATCGGCATGTGCAGTACATATGCAAACCATTTCAGTAGCTGAAGGTTTACAACCTCATCAATCGACTTTCCTAGTGCTAAGCAGTATTAGATGTAATAATCCTGGAGGAATTTTAGACGTTCGGCACGAGAACAAACTGCCAATCATTTGTCACGGAAATTTGAATATCATATACAAATTTATGCGTAATCGAATAGTGAACAACTGTTTCATCAAACAGTTGACAATAAATGTTAAAGTGAGTTTTGTTTGCTCATTACAAGAAGAAGTTCTAACAAGTTAACCAAACGTCAATCGAGATGAATTAGTCACCAATGTTTGAAGTGGATATACAAGAAGTTCTAGTTGTTTACGGTGTTCATCATGTGTCTAGACTTAGAGGTGCAAGTGAATTAGGTAATCATTCGATACATACATCCGTTATCACTGTCATTATTTCATTTTGTTATAGATGTCCTGATGGATAAAACTTTAAGTATCTCCAACTTCTCAGAGATTCACTAACTTTTCAGATGGTTTGCAATAGATAGATGACATAATCCAATTGAACAAGAAAACGTAAAGCCTTCTGAACGCCTTGAGCAAGGATGTGGATATGTTTCGCATGAGTTTAGCACGTATAAGGTCCAAGACAATGCTTAAAGATTGGTCTGTAGCTACTTTCAGCTGAAGGATAGGATGCAAAATAGTAGAATATGTTGACCACTTCACTTACTTGCTTCAGAAGTTGCATCCGACTAAACGGCTAAGGGATGCGCCTATATCTCTTATATTCCATACTTATTGTCTGGGTAAATTTGAACTGTTTTACTTCGCTCTCTTTTTCCCGTTCGTATGACCCGCTAGCGATCTGATTGGCTCCTGTCTTTCCAAATGTACTAATTATTCCTTGCCTTTCAAGGTTACCATAAACTCTATACATAGGGTCCATTTTCTATCCGAGATACTATAAATTCATCTGATTTCCAGTCTTTTAATTTCTCTTTTGCGAATTACTAGGGTTGAATCGTCTTAACCATAGACTATCAATCGTTAATTATTTTTGTTACTTCTCACTACTCCACTTAGTGACTGATGAAATCGCAGCTCGGGTACAAAATGCCCGTTTGGCACTAGCCAATTAACGTCACTTCTAGTGTCGGTGAGGTATCCGACTACCTATCAAAAAACGGATGTATTGAGCAGTACGTCTGTCAGGTTCTACGTTGATTTATTCATCATGTCGACACTTAATTCATACAAACCCCATTTTATGGTTGATAGAGAGTATAAGACATGGATGGACAAGCATTCACAGATACCTATATAAAATACATTTAAAAAATTAACTCACCCTGCTGCATGAGCAATAAGGCCAGTTTTATCAGAAAATGCAACTGCACAGTTATTGTTTACTGTGAAACCGATGACTCGTTCAAGTGTAACCTGAGTATTAGGCTAATTGAAATAAAAAGGGGAAAAGAGAAGAATAAACGCATCTGACACTAGACTATTGTCTATGTTAGCTGATCGGAATTTTAATCAATCATCAACATTGACAATCTGATACGTGAAATAAGTAATTGCCTTGAAAAAAAACCAACCGGTGATAACTGAAGAAACAGGTATACCGTATAAACAAAAAATTCAACTGAGAGTTTTTAATACTAGTGTAGCTTTAATAACACTGGGATGATTATCTTTTAGCAAAATCACTTATAAGCAGTAAAGATAAACAACCATTTTTGAAAGCAATATATACTCTCAATTCAAGAAACAATGGATCTCAAACAAACCCATCATAGCTATACCTAAACGTCCACTAAATAAAGCAAAAATAATAGCTAAATATAGTTCTTGAGTTTCAATCTCATCTGTTATATCCAAAAGCCTGGAATTTTTATCGAAATTTATCCCACCGCCGTCCAAATCTTCACTTCACCTTCAATCATGACACAGTATCAATACTAGTCTATCAAACCACAGCCATCTCAGACAGTTAAAATTATAATCAATATGATATCCCTACCCCTTCTCTAATTCAGTTACATTTAGATTGCAATGAGAAGTCCTGACTGGGTTGCCAGTGTAAGTACGATCAAGCCGTAGTAAGGTATCACGAATTCACATGGTAGTCGGGCAAAACTCTTGGTGATTTAAGTGAAATAAAAATCTGTTCAACAATAGAACCTCGTAGCTCAATTGGTAGAGCGACAGGCCAGAAACCGGATGGTCGCTGGTTCAAATTCCACCACAGCCCAAATTTCCATTTCATTTTCAATCAACACCCAGTATCAGTAAGACTATTACTATAAAAATTACGAATCATATTTTGTTAGATCACTTGGTTACGAATGAAGTGACTGTATGGAACTTAGAACATCATCAATGACATTTGTTCTCGTTTATCTACCATGATGATGGAGATGTGGCTCATTGGTATAGGTAATCAACTACCAACCAGGGGGTCATGAGTTTGAACCCGGCTCCAAATATCAAGGTTTGGGCAGTCGAATAGTATCATCATTAGCCCACAAACAAAAGATGTGGTCCATTGCCTACTCCACGAATGTACACAAGGTTGCTGAGTACATTTCTTCTTTTCGTCTCCAATCATAACCTAAATTCTGAATCTGTGCGTTCTTAAAACCTATACAATTTTAATAATTTCAACAGACTAGTAGAACTTGTCAGATATGAAATAAATAAATAAATATTTTTATTCTCAGGTCATGAATTTAACATGAGAGAAGCCGGTTTACAGGCATCATCAAATTGATAAATGCAGAGAAACCTAAAAGGTTTGAGCAGCCTTGAATGGTACAGAAGGAGGACATTGAACTCCATTACGATATCAAGTGTGTAAAAGTTATGAAAGTAGCAGGAAAATGTCACTTTGCAGTACACACAAATCGTTCTGAGTTTAGATCATCCCTACTCACAATTCTTTTTTTCACATCATAGTAGCATCGCATGGCTCAATATTCGGTGTTTGCGTTATAAGTAGTCGATACGATTGACCCGTTCGCAAAACCCAGTGTTTCGTCAGATAAACTTCGATTTTAACAGCAATTTTTTTGTTCGTAGCTTTACTGACCAATAATAACCTACTTCAATGATTTCGAAAATAAGTAAGTATCTATACAATCATCTATTTCCAGGTGAATATATACACGACGACAGAACAGAATTAGTAATAGTTATGAAAGATTGCTCAAAACATATATGAAATTAGTGACCACCGTAAACAGTGAGGAATGATCTGCCCTTCCATGTACACATTTGTTCAATATTCTAATGGTGTAATGTGAAACTATCCGAATGAGTAAACAGATGTAGAATGGAAGAATCTTCAGTTATTGGAGAACAACTATTCAATTCTGAGTATTCTATGTAGAATTTGGTAGTGATATGTTGAGTAAAAGAAAGATTAAAGCTCACAATTATCTAAATTTTTCAAGTTTAACTAATTAAACAAAATTGTAAGATTAGTTGGGGTAGTTGTCCAGAAACAAACGTCTTTTATGAGGAAGAAAATGATATGGTTCTCTTTTTCACCTTATTTTTTAACAGCCAATTGTACCTGTACGTAAGAGTAGTAGTTCGAGGCCTTACTGAGATCTTCCTTAGAAGATGATATCACTCGTAAAGAATAAACAACTAAGGTGAGATATACTATAAAAGAAACTGTTGTATTCTTTAACTGACTATCCCTAAGACACTATATGAAAAAAGAACATTAGATACATGAGAACGTTACACTGATCACAAATAGTAGAACAAAACAAGATTTACTAAGTGATTATTTGTTTGGGCCATCAAACTAAAACCACATGATGAATGGTTATCTAGAAAATTATTCGAAGATTGACTATGCAGCATCTGGAATTGTGGTTAGATGGTCTGCATATTCAACTTCCATCCAAAGGGGTCATACGTTCAAACGACGCTCAATCTATCAAGGTTTGGGCGACCAGGTAGTAGCAGTAGCCCGCCCACGGCAGGTACAGCTCGTTGAATGCAAGTGTACTTTATTTGCTGAGTGTATTTCTCTCCCATGGAACAGATAATGAAACTTGTAATTTATGCTGTTTTTCGAAATCTAGGTTCTTAACACTGGGTTTGAAAGCATCAGTCAACATAACCGAATTTAAGTGTGTAAAGATTTGACCACAGAGTTTCAGAGTCTATGATTTTGTCTTCAGAGAATTAACTGATGTATATCCCTGCATTCTGATACTAATGTACATAACTCCCACTGCTTATTTGACTGATACCGACCTTTTATATCAAAACATCTTCTACAGACTCAGTACCACAGACTCTATTTTACCAGAAGGAAGCAAACTACCTTAAGACAGGATAATTATTCAAATCTGTAGACATCAGTAAACGCCTTTTGCGATAGTTTTAAAAAATCTAAATAGTGATAATTATCATCAGTTGCGAAAAAATCTTACTGAATTTATGATATGTCACATTCGTCCGTAACATTCAAACGTAACTTACTTGTATTCGGCATGATTTGGATATCGTGTGTGAGCGCACTGGGCGTTTAGACATATCTCATTTATTTCAACCGAACATTTTACCAAACCTCTTTGCATTCTAGAATACGAAAAAATTATATGAGTCAAGAAAAATGCTAAACACTCAGATCTATAAATAAAAACCATGTAAGAAGAACTTAAAGCATAGTGAAAAGTGTTCCATTGACAAATTCCGACTAAAATTCATCTAGTGGCTTTTAACACAAAACAGGATTTAACTCAATTTGTTTACTGGTCTTCTATCAGGTGTTGACATAAAAAAGTAATGAGTATGTAAACCAATGATCACAATGATTGGTATTCGATTCCTCTACCAACCAGTATCAAATATAGACCAAGAATGGTATCTACAGTGAACATGTACTGTTGTACATTGGACAGTAGTGAACATCATTATCAGTTCCATTCAAAGAATAACACTCTTCATTCATAATAACCATGAGTTAATCTACCCTCCAGAGAACTTATCAATGGCCTAAGTTGGAGACACAACCGTGTCAGGTAGACAGATAAAATATGATCCGAACAAATTAAGGAAGATCCTTAGAATGGCCCTCACAATTAGTGGCTTTGTTTACAGCACACACGTGAAAGCGACTGCCGAGTATGCGTCGTTCGTTGTTTTCTTCATTCTAATTAGGCTGCAGCGAGGCATAGCAACATGAAATAATACACTTCTGTGCGAGATGCTAAGTTGACTTCCCCGTCATTTCGACATCAGAATGAGATTTCACGACTTGTCTACACTAATAGGTAGTTCCTCTAAAAATCAGAAGAAATCGGTTTAGTGATAGAAAAGATAGGTAGCTCAGGGATGAGGATGATGGTGGTTTGTTATTCTTTGAGCTTTAAAAAAAGACATCTTTACGGAGTTATTGCTGAAGATGTTACCAGGCCTGGTGATGAAACGTCCAAGACATAATATCAAAGCTCAGAGAACGCTAAACCAATATGAACTGGTTTAGTTTGTTGACCGCCTAGCTAAAAAGGTGTGTTAGCTCATTTCAACATGAAAGTAATACAAAGAGAATGGGCTGCCTTCTGCTTAATGATGTCACTATCACTCTAGTTAGATGTTATACGCACTTACCCAATATTAACACCAATGTACTATGCGTGAACTAGTAATAATAAAATGAAACACAGCATGATCAAATCGAGATATGGCAAGAATTCGTGGTCTGTAAACGTTCGCTTTCAGCTAAAATAGAATGTCTAGCTCTTTCTTAGTTTTATTAACCTGCACATCGCATTTGCATGGATTGGTTGATAATTTCTGTTGCAATGACTAGTGGTGAAGCATGTTGAGATTGAGTTCGACTTTCAGTTCTGATTGCTATATGTGGGGTTCATCTTGGCATGCAAATGACTCTCATAGCATACGACTAGTGAAGTGCTTGAACAATCTCTAGGTTGAATGAAGTTTTTCTCAGCGATGAGCTTCCAGGAAACCTTAGGCATCACAGACATAAATATATCTACAGATATATATATATATATATATATATATATATATATATATATATATATATATCACAATGGCATACACAGATGCAACAGGATATCGCAATTTTTCGATATTTTGAGAGTAGAGGAGGACAAAGATCTTATGTGAATTACTGTTACATGAAGTAAATCCTTCTTATTCCTTCCACACCACTTGTCTTACGGAGGGAGTCGTATGATAAATGATAAGCAGACTAAAAGTTTTGGAGAGCAGGTTAGAAAGATGAGTCAATGTGGTTTTCCTGCTTTAACTGCTTCCTTAAGCCGACGAATGGCCGCGATAGTGCAGAGACCGCTACACTCTACGAACAATGCAGATGAAGCACATCAAAAGTATATATAGAAGAAAAAATGATGAACAAAATGAAGTGTTTAAAAATTAGAGGAGGAGAAACGTCAATATTTTTTGTTACCGCCTTTAGTTTTTAACCTAACCACCTGGAGTAAATCACTGAATAAAAAATTAACAGTTTACAAATATTAGAGAAAGAATAGTTTTGTGTTGCTTTGCTGTAACCAACCTAACCGAGAGATAGATCCAACATGGTATCTGGTTAAATTGGGCGCCAGTCCAAGTTTCCACACAATACATAAAATAACGGTAGGGAAATTAAGAAAGGAAACAGAAATGGATATGCCGACACACAAAGTCAATAATTTATAAGAAAGAGGACACTTATTGTCCTACCCATGTTGTATATCACCTCCCACATGTTAACCGCCACGATTAATTTTCGTCTTAATCATAGAGACGAAAACAATCAATAGCCTTAGTAATTAAGTTAAACCCTCTATGTGATGATGATAATAATAGTAATAATAATAGTGGTAATGATGATGACAAATAGCAATAATAATGGGAAGAAAAGCATCCAGCTTCATCATAGCACACCAAGTTAGAAGGCAACAAGACTAAAGAAAAAAATAAGGACAAAAATAGTCAACCATAGAAGATCAAGAAACAAGAAGCAGAAGCAAAGAAACGATAATCAAATTCCCTGAGACAATGAAGATGGAGAAATCGAGTGGGTGCATCTGTATCACTGAGATGGATTCCAAGCAACATTACGTAGTCTCTAATAAGTAATTTTGGTTGTGATGTGAACCCTAAAAGACAAGTCTGCATTCCTCCACACGCCTCAGAACGACTGTCAGAAACTTCATGAACTGGTTGCTATGTTTATTCTGTTCGTCTCTCACCATTTCCCAATCTGAACTTACTCCAGTCAACATTTTGTGATCGGGTAGAATGTGTCTAAACATGTGCGACACATATCCCAGCCAATTCAGTCAATGAAGGTCTATGATCTCATCAGCCAACTTACCCATCTAACTTAAACTCTTCGCCTGACTTCTGTGTTTCTGATGCTGTGGCACCAAATACATGGCCTATTATACGAAGGCAACGGTGGTCGAACACCTGAAGCTTCCTGATGTCCTCTAACTTTAGTGGGCGTGTTTTACAGCCAAACAGTAGAACAGAACGAACTTCGAATCAGTACAATAGGTCCCTAATAGGTGATCGGGTATCACAGTGGTGTCATAAATGGTGTCAGTTGGCAAAAGTCAGGCAAGCCTTTTGTTTCAGTACCAAGATTCCCTCGGTTATTAACCTACCAGAGCTGATCTGACTTCTCGCACTTGTGTGGGACCTTTTAGTACCCTTGGATGTTTTGAAGCTAAATTTTCGGCGGCAGGTTCGAACCCAGGACTTATTGCTCAAAATTCGAATGCTTAGGTCAGTGAATCAAATCTTTGCAACTGCAACTGTGGCTCACTGGTTCAGGGAGATGACAACAACCAATGGACCATGGGCCCGAAAATCGCTTCACTGCCGAGATTTGAACAGTCAGGTAGTATTATTAGTTCTCACAAAATAAGTGTGGTTGATTGCCTAATGGATGAATGTGCACGTGGTTGCTGAGTGCATTTCACCTCGTTTCGCAACTACTTGCAAGCTTATGAGTAAATTTATCCTTCTCTAAATGGCCCCACTACTCAATACAGAATCGACAACTAAGTGGACTGAAGCCAAAACATTTAATTTTTATGCTTCTCTACAAATTACAAATTACAAATTTAGTAATAAGTCCCTGAAAACTGTTTAAGAAAGGCTGTTGAAAGGAAGTCGTTTTGTGACGTTTCAAAAATGTGACAGAATCCCCAGTCGCGACCATCTAATCCTAATACTAAGCATCCAACTACACCAATATGAGTTTTCTGTTCTTAGTTGTTCGTAGTATATCAGGGTGATCATATATCGTAAACTTTATTACTTGTAGCCCATATACATCTGACGTCATGATGTTCCAAGGTACTAAAATATTTCAAATATCTAAAAAAGATACTGAATCATTATCGCTGCTCACATTATTCCCCAACATGATCAGACAAGATTCACTGGCCAATTTTTTCATTCACACCTATCCTGCCTGCAGATTAACAGTTAGCTCATTTCTAAGTACTTTTTACATTTACTTCCCCGTCATTTCGACATCAGAATGAGATTTCACGACTTGTCTACACTAATAGGTAGTTCCTCTAAAAATCAGAAGAAATCGGTTTAGTGATAGAAAAGATAGGTAGCTCAGGGATGAGGATGATGGTGGTTTGTTATTCTTTGAGCTTTAAAAAAAGACATCTTTACGGAGTTATTGCTGAAGATGTTACCAGGCCTGGTGATGAAACGTCCAAGACATAATATCAAAGCTCAGAGAACGCTAAACCAATATGAACTGGTTTAGTTTGTTGACCGCCTAGCTAAAAAGGTGTGTTAGCTCATTTCAACATGAAAGTAATACAAAGAGAATGGGCTGCCTTCTGCTTAATGATGTCACTATCACTCTAGTTAGATGTTATACGCACTTACCCAATATTAACACCAATGTACTATGCGTGAACTAGTAATAATAAAATGAAACACAGCATGATCAAATCGAGATATGGCAAGAATTCGTGGTCTGTAAACGTTCGCTTTCAGCTAAAATAGAATGTCTAGCTCTTTCTTAGTTTTATTAACCTGCACATCGCATTTGCATGGATTGGTTGATAATTTCTGTTGCAATGACTAGTGGTGAAGCATGTTGAGATTGAGTTCGACTTTCAGTTCTGATTGCTATATGTGGGGTTCATCTTGGCATGCAAATGACTCTCATAGCATACGACTAGTGAAGTGCTTGAACAATCTCTAGGTTGAATGAAGTTTTTCTCAGCGATGAGCTTCCAGGAAACCTTAGGCATCACAGACATAAATATATCTACAGATATATATATATATATATATATATATATATATATATATATATATATATATATATATATATATATCACAATGGCATACACAGATGCAACAGGATATCGCAATTTTTCGATATTTTGAGAGTAGAGGAGGACAAAGATCTTATGTGAATTACTGTTACATGAAGTAAATCCTTCTTATTCCTTCCACACCACTTGTCTTACGGAGGGAGTCGTATGATAAATGATAAGCAGACTAAAAGTTTTGGAGAGCAGGTTAGAAAGATGAGTCAATGTGGTTTTCCTGCTTTAACT